ATTATAGAAAATTATAAACACTTTCATAACTCATATAAGATTAGACAAACTACAGAGCTAATGAACACTTGTACAACTTCTAAAAGAATAAACAAAGAGCATGGCTTATATCACTTTGTCTAAACAAAGGTCGGAGCTTATATCACTTTGGTTTATGATTGCCACATATATAAGAATATGTTCAAAAAAATGATTGCCACATATACAAGGTCTTAGATGGGAAATTTATAAGTAACAAACTGATAATAATTAACACAAAATGATAAAATTAAGAAGTTACCATTACAGAAAATTATGAACACTTGCACATCCCATAAAAGATTAGACACATTTCAGAGCTTATATAACCTATATTGACACATCCTATACGCTTAGAAGACAAGTTTATAAATAACAAACTGCTAAAAAATAACACAAAAAATTGGATTTAAGAAGCTATAATCTTACAAATTAAAGCTTATTGTTGCAAGGTGTCTACACGCCTCCCAACCGAATGATTAGCTCACACTGTAAATGCAGTGTAATTGCAAAAGCCAGTAGTTACGTATCTCCTACATTCTTTCACTACATAGTTCTGATGCAACCTCTTGATTCTTAATTACTCAATCATTGCGATTTTCAGAAATAATGGTGAAGATGCCAGTTGAATTTAATGGCAAAGCAACCACAGGGAGATCTCTGAACACTCCAGCGCATCATCATCATTTGTAACCAAAAGAAGTCATAAAAATAAAAAAAAATTGGTCCAAAGGAGACGTAAACTTATTCTTTATGACTTTGACAACTTACTCTTTTGTAAACAAATTTATGTACTTATTCCTACTCTTTAATCTTTGTTCCTCCAGTATCTGAACCACGGCAGCCTTGGCTACAAGAGAAATATCTACCACGTACACCAGCCCCCCCTCCCCCCCCCTATCGGACACCTATCAGCTAAAGCTCATCTTAATAGTGAGGGAATAAATCAGTACTTCTTCCACCACAAATCAATCAAAGCACTCAATCACCTCACATGTGCCAATCTGCTTATGGAAAATACGATAAGGGTATGTATCTTTGTGGTTTAGTAATGTTGTACAGAGGAAACCTCAAAGAAGGAAAATATTTCTTTGATATCCTTGACTAGGAACACACACTATCAAAATCTGATCGCTGCTGGAATAAGATTAAGAGGTTCAAGTACTTTGGATATCCGATCAGATTTCTTTGATACACTACTGCAGCAATGCTATCAAGAAAATTATGTTCGGGACAAGAACGTTCTCTGAAAACACCGCACCTGACGATGGACCAACGGCAGAGGATATTGAGCATATGGAAGCTATGTTTGAAGCATTAGGGTTTAAGTTCGCCTTTTGTATCTCTGATTATCTACATATGCTCACAAGACTTGATCTTAACGGTCACGAGAATGGTGGCGTTTAAGATATAAACGATCAGCCTAGGATTGTTACTATTTTGTGTATAAGATATAAACGATCAGTCTAGGATTGTTACTATTTTAAGAGGACGAAACTATATATTATCTTCCTTGAAACAACTTAATCACAAAACAAACACAACTTTTTACATTATTCATTCACAAACATGAACTTTACTTTATGTTTAAGTATTTACTAAATTAACTTTGTAAAGTCTATCAAATTTTTACTCTACTTTTATTTGTTTTGATTAATACCAACCACTTATGCTACTCCACTAATAATCAGAAAAGATTCTTCAACAAAGTTACAACATCAAATTTCTGAACATAATCTCTTCACTAAAACCACAAAATAAATCGCAACTTTTTTTATAATAATATATATGAATCCGGCGCGTAGCGCCGGCACACCACTAGTTAATATATAAAGAATAGTAATCAACTCGTTTTCTGTTAGTTTTGAGTTAAAAACTCGTAACTAAAAAAGAAAGCATAGTTATACCTGTGTCGTGTTCGGGAATTAACTCCATATACCGCATATCCTTCTAAACTCAACCTTACTACCCTAACCCTATTCATCCTATCCATTTATCCTTGCACTCCCTAAATTAACCTTTATCCATTTATTTCCATTTATTCCTCAATTAAAAATCAACCACAATTCAACTACCTACATGGTACACATCCTTCCCTTTAACCAATCAAAATTCTTTAGTCTATATATTCTTCTTCTTCCTCGTACTCTCTTCTCCTCTTCATCCTCCATTAACAATTTTGAAAGCTCATAAAGAAGGTAATTCTTGTTCGTTTTAAGTGATTTTTTTTTGTAAAATCACCTTTAAATTGTCGTGTATATCATAGATATATTCGTTTTGATGAAAATTAGAGAGTTTAAATACGATTTAAAAAAATGTGATAAGAGATTATAAGTATAATTTACGTCCGTTTTTGATGATTTTTGGGTGAAATGTTATTAAAAACATGTGTATAGCTCGGGTAGTGTTAAAACAGCATATCCAATGAAAATAATGAGAGATTGAAAAAGAATTTGAAAACTATTTTTATAGATTTTTGGATATATGTTATCTATGTTTTGATGATTTTTTGTGTGTAATTTCATTTAAGATGAATTATACATCATGGGTAATGTAAAATCCTAACAATAACATTCTAAAAATGGAATAGTTTGTGGAAGAACAAATTCTGGGTATTACCAACAGAACTACGCATTACTAAGGCAAAATAGTAAGGAACACTGCGTGATAGAAGGTAAGGCATAAAACAAATCGTTGCATCTGTTTTGTCTCAAGATTATCCTGGTACATTTGACCCACCAGTTCCCAAAGTTCTGATCGATTTGGTTCATCGCAGAGTTGGTGTGAAAGTATCATACACCGCTGCATAGAGAGGAAAAAGAGAAGCTGCTAATGAAGTGCGAGGCAGTCCAGAAGAGAGTTTTACTTTACTACAATGTTATATGCACATGCTGGAACAAACTAATATTGCCACAAGAACACTTGTAGAAGTGGATGAGGACAACCAATTTAAATATATGTTTTTTACACTTGGAGCTAGCGTAGAAGGGTTCCGTGCAATGAGGAAAGTCCTCATTGTGAATGCAACACACCTCAAGAATGTTTATGGTGGAGTTCTCCTTGTTGCGACAGCTCAAGATCCCAATCATCACCACTACCCAATTGCGTTTGGTGTAGCAGACAGTGAGAATGATGAAAGCTGGATATGGTTTATGGAACAGTTGAAAATAGTGATATCCGATGTCCCGGGATTGGTGTTTCTTTCAGTTAGAAACAAAAGCTTGATCAAGTCAGTACGTCTAGTGTTCCTTGAGGCCAAACATGGGTATTGTATTTGGCGGGAAGGTTTATACTGTTGATTTGGCTATGAAAACTTGCAGCTGTGAGCAATTCGATAAAGACAAATATCCTTGTGTGCATGGAGTAGCTGCTGCCACATTCATAACTAAGGCAGCAGGAAGGGAACTCCATCTATCTGAGTATTGTTCAAAATACTATTTAGTGAAACAATGGGCTTTGGCTTATCACATGACAATATATCATGTTCCTCATATGTCTGATTGGGTTATACCAGAAGATGTTAGAGCAAAAATAGTTCCCCCGGATTATGAAAATAAGAAAGGAAAACCACAACAAACAAGATTTCCATCAGTAGGAGAATCATGTGGAAGAGGAAAAAGAGGCAGATGGAGAGCCAGAGGAGCAGTTCTTCCATCTTATTTTGAACGTGGAAGTGCTTCAGGTACTACCTAGGATTTACTGGTTTATTATATGTAACCTGGACTACTAGGGATTACTCGTCTTATTAAATGTAATCTGGACTACTGAAGCTTACTCGTTTTACTATGTGTAAACAAGACTAATAGTTATTACTAGTTTTATTATATGTAATCCGAACTACTAGGGATTACTTGTTTTATTAAGTGCTATTCGTAAGCAATATATATCACTAGGTAAATTGTTTATGATGTACATTTAAATTATTCTTTTATGATTATTTTCACTTCCTAGGCTATGTCTATGATAAATATATACATCTAAACTATTTTTGATAATTATTTTCAATAATTAAAGAAAAGCTTATCAATTTCCTAAAAAACATCATTAACTTTCTATGTTAGTTTGTGAATGGTTCTAGTATAGTGAAGAGAATTTTTCAAAATATGTATTCCTTGTAAATTGTTTATGCAAATGTCTTCCTTAACAAGATTGACTAGGTAAAATCATTGGTTTTACTACAAAACCTTCAATTTTGTGATGGTTTAACTAGATAAACGTAAAAATTGCCAAAGTATTACTATGTATATAGTAGTATTACTACAACCTTGGAGATTATTAGGTGTATTACTAAGTGTTACATATAATACTAAATTTATACATGACGGCTGCACGTTTTACATGTGAAATTTGACGGCTGCACGTTTTACATGTGGAATTTTACGGCTGCACGTTTTATGTGAAATTCATTTTAAAAAAAAAATCATTTCATCCATTTTATTGCATTACAACAAACCTAGTAATTCTAGTTATCACAGCTATTCATTTTTGGGCAGAGTAATATCCCAGCTATTCCATTACTTGTCTTAAACATCCAAAAGAACATTTCAACAGAGTTTTAACATCCAACAACAAAAACCAAGCATTATCCTACAAGTTTTGAACATCCACAATACTTAAATAAACCATCTAAATACATAAGGTAATTCCATACATAAGCCTTTAAGCCTTTGTTTTAGGCTTCTTCCTCGCCTTCTTCCCCGCCGTGAAAGGATTCTGCACCCACTGTGATGGTTCAGACTTCCTCTTTTCCGTTATCGTAGGTGCATCATCAACAGCTCTCGTCCTAGGCCTTTTTACTTGAACCTTTCCTCGGTTTTCCATACATTTCTGTATTTTTCTTGCATCTAATCAAGATCTCAAGCTGCCTCACTGCAATCCTCACAGTCCTTGTAGACGACCATGACTTGGAATTTATGCCCTTGAAACTTTCATATCACCCTTTTTTTGGTTTTAGCTTCAAGCTTGAAAACTTCTTGTTGACTCTATAGTTCACTATAGTTACGCCACACAGCCCTGAACTCTCCACGGAATGTGTTCAAGCGTGCCTTGAGGTTCGGAGTTCGCATGCTTGCATGAAGCATGATAACTAAAGGAGATAAAAAAAATTTAATAAAACCAGACCAAAAACAAAAACAAAAAAAAACTAGGAGAAAGATCACAAGTTTAACTTACTGAGAAGTGCAGTGGTAAATGCGTAGAGAATCCATAACAAATCGCAGGAAGTAAACCACAAGACAAAGCTGGCTACATAACAAAAAGAATCAAAAGTTGCATATCAAAAGGTAGGAGGAAGTTTTATATGACATGAGAGAGATACTGGGTATTAAAAGTACCGGTTAATCCAAGCAACACAAACACCAAACGTGGTTGGCCACAAACGTAGACCGTCTTCCTAGACGCAAATCACCCACGAATGACAGGCCTGAAAAGCGTTCACGAGTAATAAATTAAAAAAATACTCGTTAAGTATAATTTTCCATGGAGATGAAAATAAAGAACTCAGTTACTCACATGTGAGGAGACCTCATCTTTGCAGATAAATGTGGTGAGAATTGCCTTATGATCCGGATAGCCTTTTCATTGAAAGTAGCTGCAAAGCTGCAAAAAGAGAACCCAAAAAAATACCACAAACGCATGAGCATTATTTATTTAATAAATGGCAAGAAACATAAACAGAACATGTTACATAAACATAAAAATTACTGGATAAGCTTACAGCTATTAAATAAAAACACCAACGCCATAATTAAAATTTTATTGGGATGTAACATATTATTCATCCAATTGAAGAGCTAATAAATTGAACTATAGAGAACATGCAACCAATGAATATCTCTCTAAGCAGAGATATAAAAGTAGAAACTAAGGAGAAATCAAAAGAGGTACCTGTCGTTAAGGAAAGCTAAGCTTAAGGCTGTGAGAGCAGCGCCAATGATGGCAAGAGGTCGGGTGATAAGTGCAAGACCTTAGCTCAAAAGAGGATCATATATTCAGAATTTCTCAATCAATTAGAGCTCAAAAAAAAACAATGAAAGCAAGGCTTTGACATATATACCTAGAACGAGAATCAACATGAAGAAGTAATTTTTCCGATAGCTGCAACAAGAAAACTCAGATGAAAATCAAAATCAACACAAACACACATATAGAAAGAAAGAGAGAGGGAAAGAGTAAGATACTTGTAGAGATTGCATTGGGGCCCCGATTTCATTTGATACGGCTCATCCATTTAGAGAAAGAGCGAGGAAAGGCGAATCTGGAGAAGAACTCTGCCAAAAGAATGAGGAATTGTCGACCACTCGACTTCGCAAAGAGAGAGAAGAATAGGGTCCGATAGTTGAAGAAATTGAGAAAGGAGAGTTAAAACGCCACCGTTTAGATGAAGAAACTGGGTTGGATCCGGATAGATTCGAATTATCATGGTTAGGTTATGTAAATAAGTGATTTTTGTTAGGGTTCTTCTGTATTTAACCAGCTTTGAACCAATTTTTTCATTTAAAATAAATATAAAAGAAAATAAAGGAGTAATAGATAATTTTTTAGGAAGACATAGTGTAACGCCCCGACCGCCGACGGCTAATGGGCCACCCACGCCCGCTCTCTCGGCCCGTGGGCCCCATCCCGTTCCAACGGCCGGTCCGTTAATTTTCCAAGGCTCTAGAGTCATGTTTACTGACCCTGCAATCACCACCCGACCTTTCCTCGTGCTTTGGCCTCACTTACACGGTATCGCAAACCACTTCCCGATAGGTCACCCATCCTTTGACTACTCCAGCTCAAGCACGCTTAACTCTGGAGTTCTCTCTAGATGTGCTCCCGAAAAGGTAAGTGCACTTTGGTGACATAGGTAGTCAAACAATTCTCTTAAGCCTTTTCGTATATCAGAATTCGGGATGTTACACATAGGATATATGGAGTTAATCCCCGTCGTGCTCATGTGCATCTATGAAATAAGAGCGATACGACATTTGCACTAGGAGCATAATTTTTTACCTTTGTTTTCTCTTTCATTTTTCATCATTCAGAGTCGCTTCTCGTTGTTAATTAACGTGTCCGTGGTGTCACCGACACGAACAAGACGTATATATTTATATGGAAAATTGCCTTTCACTTTTTTTTGGTTTTTGCCAAAAGATTGCCTTTCACTTTTCAGCATGCATCTACAGATCTACTCTACACGACTGAAGTTCGTAGATGACTTACTCTAGATTCTTCCAATGTCCCCAAAAATTAGAAAGAAATAAAAAACATGACTACCGTAACATCTGCATGCCATATCAAGTCACCCTTTTAGTTTGTTCCCCATAAAGCAATCTTCTCACCTTTTTTTTCTTGGGACAAAATCTTCTCAAATCTTCGTTATTTCTTTTCATAAACAAAAAAAAAACGATTTATTTAGATATTACCGAATCACTTCGTTAATCTTTCTATTCAATGGGAATGTGAATGTATCCTCCTTCCTACCATCGATTCCTACCATCTTAATTATTTAGTTGGTGGAAACGACATATTGCAAATAACTTTTGGTCATCATAATCTAAATTACGCATTCGACATATGCTCCCAGTTCATCTTCTTTCTTATTAGAAACTCCGTCGTATTAAGATTTGATCGATCTTTAAACCTTCGACTTTACTCATCACATTTTGAACTATTACAAAAGGTAATATTTGTAGGGCCAAAGTACACTGTTTTTATCATCATTGAAATATAAACTTTATATCATACCGAAGAGATGAAAAAAATATGACTAATTAAAAAGATTAAAAGAAAAGTAGATCATATATACTAAACGAGTGACCACGTTAAATATTTATGGGTCCAGCTACAATTGACAAGACCACCACAGTGATTCAAGAAAATTTAAAGAAAAAGTGGCATTGCTTTTGAATTATTTTTACATCTGATTTGAGTTAAAATGCCCATATTGCCTATTTATATTGATTCGATTGCTAACCATTTAAAAAATTATAGCTTTTAATGATCTGTCGTCCGTGGCGGAGCCAGCCTTATGGGATGTGGATCACATGACCCAGATGGATTGCATGTAAAAAAAATGTTACCTATATTTTAGAATCAAAACTGGAAAATTATTGCAAAAACTAGCATATTGACCCTTATGGTATATGCAAATCATGCAATTGAACCTTCTCAAAGCTCAGTCTGGTTCCGCCACTGTCTTTCGCTATATAACCCTTTTTTTTTTTTGATCAACTGAAAATTTCATAAAAGGAAAGGAGATAGTTTAGTATGGGCCAAGGCCCTCGCTATATAACCCTAAATACCACGGCATATGGATCATGGTAGATATGCAAGTATAATTCACATGAAGTCTAAAATTTTGAAACATCTAAATTAATCACAAAATATAATCATATAAATGTGTATCGACTTATCTGTATACATTTTTTTTAACGCTGGATATCTGTATACATTATGTCTAATAGATTTTCTTGAATATTTTTAGGTTTCTCTTGCTTTACTAATAAACTGTATGTATTAGTTTCAACCATTCATCAGAATTAAATAGATTAGGAAAGTAAATTATTTCTAATTTAATTGGTCACCAAATTTATTAAAGAATTAGGTGATTTTCCCGTGCTCATGCACGGACATGTATATTTATAAAATAAATATACAATAATAACTGATTGATATTTACTTTAATTTTAAATTAATTTATAGTTTATATGTCTAATTTATATTATAATATTATATTACTTTAATTATATATATAATTTTAGATATGTTATATTTAGTCTGTTTTATTTTTTTTACGGTCGATTTAGTTATCATTTAGATATATTGGATTCTATCTATTTCTCTGAATTCAACTATTATCTTTTATATTTTAAAATATTAAATTTTTAATTAATTTTCTTATTTGCATTTATGTTGGTTGTGATCTTAGAAATATAAATATATTTAGTAAGATTATATATAACTTAAGATTTTTTTGTGCTTAGAAGGAAAAAAAATAAGAACTAAAGTTTATGATTCTAAATTACATACATAAGTAACTAATGAATTTATAGAAGATTTTTGAACACATATCAATATTTACAATAGTTAACATATTTTATAAATTCTAAAATAAATTTATGCTTTAGATTGTTTAGATGGTAAACTGAAATTTATTTTAAATAATTTTAAAAATAAGGATTCTGATTTTCTTAAGTATTTGACTATGGTTATATTAAGTTTCACAAACATAAAAACAAAAAAATTAAAAATCAAAAGATTATTAAGAAAACAGATAATTTTAACTATTAAAATATAATACATCTACCTCGTTAAATTATATAGTGTTATGGTATTTTAAAATAATTGTAGTTATTTTCTGTTTTTATGTTTGTGAAACTTAATATAACCATAATCAAAATACTTAAGTAAATCAGAATCCTTATTCTTAGAACATATAATTTTAACTATTAAAATATAATATATCTACCTCGTTAAATTATATAGTGTTATGATATTTTAAAATAATTGTAGTTACTTAATCAAAAAAATGTTTATCATTAAATTTCCTTTTTAGTTTTATTTTTAGTATCTCTTAAAATAGTCAGTAAAAAGTGATTGTTTTTGAGAAATTATATTATATAAGTAAAAAAGAATTTATATTTTTACTGTAGTTGTAAGATATTATAGTCAAATAAATATAGTAAAAAAATAATTTCAATAATACTAATTATAAAAAAATGTCAGTTAAACATATATCAGTTTATGTTAGTTGATTATTTTATGTAATCATAATTATTTTGAAAATATATATATTTTATTGTTTAAAATTATTTTTTAAGGAAAAAATATTTCTTTTTTTAATAGAAATATTTTTTGTGTGAATTTTTTTATATGAAATCTCATTATATACAGATATTCTTTTTTTTATCTAAGAAGATATAGATATAAAGTATTTTATTACTTCAAAGGTATATTTTATGTTATTTAAAATATATTTAAATTAATTATTACTATTTTGTGAACTTTCCTTTTTTTATTAAACCATATTCTATATACTTATATTTTCGTTTTTAAATAGTTTTGTAAATTTTATAAATGTTTCCTTTTTATTTTACATTGTTATTTGGAAATTTTTAAAAGGAAAATAATATTTAATTGTATTTTTAATTTATTAGGGGTATCATAGTAATCAACCAGCGTGAGAGTTAACGTGAGCACGACACCTAAGAAAATGACTTCTCAAATAATATTATAGAGATAATAATATTCTAATAGAATATTGATGTCTATAAGATTACATAATGGGGAAAATAAAATATCTCTTACAAAATATAGAGGCACTGCATATTTTTTTTCTTGCTTGCTTTCAATAGCATGAACTAGTCGTAGTAGCTATATAGGAACAAAATTCACTTAAAGCAGCACTTGAAACTAACTATTATTGAACATGTCGAATCTATTGCTTGATTTTATAAGTTGCAAAATTAAGAGCATGAATTTAGATGTGCAAAATGTTTGTCTTTTTTTTTGTCAAATAACACATGTTAATTAGTTAGGATAATAAATAGATAAATTTAGCAATAACTTACATATTTCCTATCTGATAAATACAATTAAATACGAAGGAAATAGTCGTGTTTTCTAGTTTGAAAAAAGAAAGTTGTATTTTCTCAAGTTAAATTTGCATAATTATGGAAGGGTATGTATTCATATAATATTCCTTGAGTATATTTTTGTCTTTGTCCAATAAAGTTATTCCATGAGAATCTTGGCACCAAATCTTTCACTGTTGAAGACACAGACGCCAACGCCCAAACAACAAGGCGCATCATACTGTAAACCGCCACCACAACCAATTTGATTCTCACGATTATTTCCCTTTAAGTACGTCAAAATAATTATAAACAAGAACGCTATCATTATCAGAAATCTCATTATAGTAGGTTCTTTTTCGTTTAATAGGTATAGGTTGATTATAAACATTTTTTCCTTTTTATACTCTTACAATTCTAAACTGTAATTTGTTCATCGGGTCGAAGCTAGCCGAATAAGTCCCTTTTACTTGCATGCTTTTACCCTTTCAAGGTGTAAAAGTGAAATGAAGGGAGGTTACTTTTGTAGACTTTTTGTGTGTTTAGATTGGCTACATGTTTGACCAAAAAAAAGATTGGCTACATAAATCCTTACGTTTAGACCAACCCGTTATGACATTTGTTCTTTTCATCCAAAAATGCTTACCACTTTCAATAAACAGTTCGATCCTATCATGTAATAAGATTTGAATGTAGACTTAAATTTAATTGTAACAATATACCATATGAGTACTAATAAAATATAACATATGTGTCAAGAACATATTTAGGTTGATGAGTTACTTGCATATAGTGTTAAACATAAATACACAAATATATATTCCTACTTTTAGTGTTTTCAATCAATTTTAGTCTTCCATTTCACACCGTAAGACTTCAATTCAAAGACTTAAACAATGAAAAATTGCAAAATAATTAATAATTAGTTTACTACAAAGTAGTACAAAAATACTTAAGATTAAGAAAGAGAAGGGACTCAGTGACTTTATTACTTTTGTAAATCTATATTATTAAAACTCAAGTACAAATCGAGAGTGTTTGAAAACTTGGATAGCTATTTTTAAAAATAATCTGTTTGGAAACAAGGATGATACTGCTCTCTAAGTCATATGCATTTAACCCGAATCTAAATTAATTACAAATTTTCTTTTGGCTATCTTAAACCAAGATATTTGTGTGTAAAGATTGATTATTTGAAGAATGGAATCAATGAGTCATACCTATCCATATACAAAGTTTGTTAACCGTAAATCTCGCTTGCAATCTACGGAATATAAAATTACCTAACTTGCTCCATTTAATCTTGTGGCACATGTTTTGCATTCCTTCAAGAAATATATCTTTCAATTTGATATCTTACTTACCAAATTCCTTGAAAATCGTCTACGTCATACCTAATTGTTACCATAATCAGTGCAAACAATTATAACAATATTTAAAATCGATCCACATATACTTACAGAAGATATGATTTGGTTTCAAAATTTAAAACAAGGATATCCAACTCTAAAATATTGATACACCATAAATCCTCTTAAACTAGATTTCACCTATCAATATATACGGACTCTAGGAATTATCTACCATTCATCCATATTTCACAAAAAATGTCTATCGCAAGAAATTTGGCTTTTATAAATGATGTGAAGCCCTTTAGAAACAAATGGCGATTTCGTGTCAAACTTATTAATTCATAGAAACTGACCATGGTTGTGGCGAGGATCGCCCCTGATTATGATGGTGGTGGTGATGATGATGTACAGGTGGTCTCCCAATCATGCCATATATAAACAACCTAAATATTTGAAAGACGTCCTAAACTTCATCTTGGATATTTTTGAATATTTTGAAAAAGAGCTTAGGCCGGAAGGAAAACTTTACAGTGTAGAAACCAACACAGAAGAGGCAGCCAATCAATCAAGGATAATATATATATATATATATATATATATATATATATATATATATATATATATATATATATTGTTTTCTAGCTGTAGAAATTTTATTAAGTGGATTGATATTCAAAAAAAAAAAGTAATGGAACTTATTAGTTGTAATGGTTTTATTATACTTTCGAACTTTTAGGTCAAGGCATTTGTGAAACCCAACTTTGAACATGCAAAATGGGCACAATCCGCTCACCTGCCTAGCTTTGAGGAGTACATGGAGGTTGCTGAGGTGAAGATCACACCGTATGTAGTTTTGGCTGGTTGTTTTATGTGTCTAGGAAAGATGGCTACCAAGGAAGCTTACGAGTGGCTTAAATCGAGACCAAGACTGATCAAATCTGTATGTGTTAGAGGTCGTCTTATGAATGATATAACCGGTCTAAAGGTAAGAAAATGGATAAATTTTCTCTTCATGCATTGTTCTATCTTACAATATTTCCAAAACTTTGATTAAAATGACATGAGTAGAGGACAGATCACAAATGCGGTAAACTGTTATATAAAGAAATATAGAGTTACCAAACAAGATGCTTTAAGAGAGCTTCATCAAATGGTTACAGATACTGATAACATAATAAATGAGGAGCTCTTGATGACAAATGGTGTGTCACGTTTGGTTCTCAAGACAATAATGGGTCTTGCACAATCAATCAGTGTCTTCTACAATGGATATGAAGGATTTACTTTTCCCAAAGGAAAAATCAAGGAGTACATGAATTCTATGTTTGTCGATCAGATTAGTCTTTAGTGTACGGCATTATGTTCTTGGTTTCCTTTGTAAAGCTACGTCCTACGTGTAGTCCATTATTTGGGTCGATCACTCTTTAAATTATACCAAAAAAGCTTTTTATGTATGTTGTGTTACCATTTATGTATGAGTCTGGTATAATTGTATAGTTTATTTGCACCATGGCTGGGAATCAAATTTTGCCAAATTTCTCTTAGACACTCATGAGATAGTTAAAACAAAAAAGATCATTGACCCATATATATCATTTTTCTCACTTGCGAGTCAAATTTTTGAATCAAAAAATGATTCAATCCGCAATAGAGCAGTCGACCCGCAAACCCAACAATAATTTATATGATGGTACGTATAAAATATTATTAATTATATAATGATACATATATGATATATAATACTGATATGAAAAAAATAGCAATATATTTTTGAAAAAATACACCCGCGCGGGTCAAACTCTAGTTTGTTTCAAAACCTTGCCAAATTTAGATTTATCTTATAGAGGTTAGTATATTTAATTAATCTGTATTCTACAATTACAGTAATTTGTGTATGATCGTTTTGAACATAGACGCATTCGTACACAGTCTTTTAGTCAGTTTAGAGCACCTCCATCAGTTAGAGCTCTTAATGGGTTCTCATAATTAATTTAATAGTTAATTTTGTATTTTATGAAATTTAGAACCCTTATCAATGTAATTAGGTTTATGATGGTCCAATGGGAGAACCCCTATGAGGTTTTTTTTTTTATTTTTTTTTTAAAAATTGAATTATTAAATTTAAATATTAGAAAACTTATAAATTATTGGATTTCATAACATTTAAACAAATATGACATAAGAACATATGAAAAATATAAATATAAATACTCATTGCTATATTAAAACAAGTTTCATTGCTACACTAAAATGTCTCCAACAAATAATCATCTTGAATCTTCATTCTCTTCACTCATTTGCTCCATTACTATTAAGATAACCCAAGAAGAGAAATAACCTGCCAAATAAAGAGGTCTTGGTCAGTCAGTCACACACTCAAATGCAAAAAACTGGAAAATGAACTCCATCACACCAAACAGCAAACCAAAACATTCGATCCAAAGTATAGTTTCAGACCAGTCAAGCATGTTTGTGTCTTGTTAATCGTTACAGAGCACCACGTTCTACTTCCGGTTTCTATTATAAACTAATACCATGTATCTACATCATAGAGTCGAGGCCACAATTCTCTATTGAATCTATACTAAACATAAAAAAAAAAACATAAGTTCTTGTAACATATCAATTACAAAAACAAAGCATTTACACTGAAAATAATACTCTAAAGTTTCACAAGACCATTCTCATTACTCCCACACAGACAGCAAAACACTAATAAGAGCAAGGAAGCTTCAAATTGACAAAGAACCATACTTGTAAGATGCTAAGATGGAAACTTAGTTCTCACATAACATAAAAGATATTAGAACCCACATAACAAAGAGATGAGAACCATGGTGCATGAACATAAAAGATGATACTCGAACTCTGTTACTATGGGGCATGAACATAGAACAGACCATACAAGCACAAGTAAGCTTCCAACCGAGAAAGAACTAAACAGTAGACCAGTAGTTTCAGATGTATGATCAAATTATATTTCAGTCATATCATCAAGCTACAAAACAAAGCATTGACACTGAACATTAAAACAAAGCAAAAACACACATATCAACTTCAATTTTCTTCAGAACATAAACATATATATCATTGTAAATTGTCCAAAGAGGTTCGATTACAAGTTCTTCCCCTGAAACTTAGACTCCAAAGTCATCTCAATCACACATTAGCACAAGAGCACAACACAGACAAATCGAATCTAATATCACAGAGCAAAAACACACAAACCCAAATCAAATCACAAGAACACAAGAATCTCAAGACCGTTGAGCCTGTTTTCTTTAAGCATTCAAGCTCAAGCTCCTCTGACGCGAGCGGACTCTCCTCCTCTGATTCCTTCTTCAGATGAATTCGCTCTCCGCCGCCGATTTGGCATCCCAAGCCGATTCGAACCACCGTCAAGAGACTCGAACGACCTAACAATGACAATAAAGTGAAATCAAAGGCGTTGAAGATGTATAGCGATTTGAAGAGAAAGAAGAACCGAGGAAGAGAAGAGAGATAGGATTTTTGTTTTATCTTTAAAGAATAGCCAATAAAAATAGCCACGTATGGAGTGTTTACTGATTGTGAAAGTCCCATGTTTGACACCGGTTCTGTAATTTTAAAGTATTTTTTATTTATTTTTTTGTGTTTTTCTTTAGAACTCTTTTATCAGACTCTACGATGGAGGTGGTCTTATACAGACAGCCATATAAACTGTACGCGTGTACATAGATGATCCATATGTTCTTGTACGTGATAAGTTAATGTGTACTGTGTACATATGCTATGTATTTTTTTTTTTTTTCCTAATAGATTATAATTCAAATGGTCGATGTATGTATTCGCATAGGCTGTACAAATAGATGCGTGATCAGCCACCGAACAGTAGCATCCATCAATTTCAACAACAAAAAGATATCCCAAATTAACCAAATATTCGTCAAAATCTTTTCAAAATAGGTTATCTCTCTTTTTTTTTATCGTATATTAAAAAGAAAGTATATAAACGTATGGAGGATTATTATCCACCATGCTCTAAACTGAAAAATCAATATGTCTAATCGTAACTTGTAAAATGTCCCACCAACGGATCAAAAACAAGGCCTCTAGATTTGAAAATCAATGAGAACAATCAAGGGAACACGTACACACAAGAATACATATGCATGAACACAACACACAAGACAGACCATGTCTGAAAAAGAAAACACAAACTACAAAATTACCCTTTGTCTCCATACTTCTCTCTACGTGAATGTTACATAGCAGAGATATATATATATATATATATATAATACACATCGCAGAGACCCACCTTCTTTACTTCAAAGCATCACAGCAAAAGTACCATGGGATCCTTGGTTAATGTGAAAGAAGCCACAGTCATTACTCCTTCCGACCAAACACCTTCTTCTGTTCTGTCTCTCTCCGCCTTAGACTCTCAACTTTTCCTCCGGTTCACCATCGAGTACCTCCTCGTTTACCCACCCGTTTCCGACCCGGTTTCTCTCTCGGATCGTCTCAAGTCAGCACTCTCTCGCGCCCTAGTCCCTTACTTCCCTTTCTCCGGCCGCGTACGTGAGAGACCCAACGGTGGCGGCGGCAAAAGTCTCGAAGTTAACTGCCGTGGCCAAGGTGCTCTATTTCTCGAAGCTGTATCTGACCACCTCACGTGCCTCGACTTTCACAAACCACCACGGCACGTGACTAGCTGGAGAAAGCTTCTCTCCCTCAACGTCATCGACGTCCTCGCTGGCGCTCCACCTCTCATCGTCCAGCTCACCTGGCTCAGAGACGGCGGCGCAGCTTTAGCCGTCGGTGTCAACCACTGCGTCTCCGACGGTATCGGAAGCGCAGAGTTCCTCACCTTGTTCTCCGAGTTATCCAAAGACTCACTGAGTCAGAACGATATAAAACGGAAACACGTGTGGGATCGCCACTTGCTTAACCCCTCTCCGGTTCGCGACTCGTTAAACCACCCCGAGTTTAACCGGGTTCCCGACCTCTGCGGGTTCGTTAACCGGTTCAACGCCGAGAGACTCGTTCCGACATCAGTCGTGTTCGAGAAACAAAGACTCACCGAGCTCAAGAAACTCGCGAGTCGACTCGGTGAGTCCACCTCCTTCGAGGTGCTCTCCGCACACGTATGGAGAAGCTGGGCGAGGTCACTGAACCTACCCTCGAACCAAAGCCTCAAGCTTTTGTTCAGCGTCAACATTCGAGACCGAGTCAAACCGAGTCTACCCGTTGGATTCTACGGGAACGCCTTCGTCGTCGGATGCGCGCAAACCACCGTGAAAGATCTGACGGAGAAAGGGCTAAGCCACGCGGCGATGCTCGTGAGACAAGCGAAGGAGCGAGTCGGTGACGATTACGTCAGATCGGTGGTGGAAGCTGTTAGCGAGGAGAAAGCTTGTCCTGACTCTGTCGGGGTCTTGATACTGTCGCAGTGGTCACGTCTCGGTTTAGAAAGGCTTGATTTTGGGTTTGGTAAACCGGTTCATGTGGGATCGGTTTGCTGTGATCGGTACTGTTTGTTACTTCCGGTTCCTGAGCAGAGTGATGCCGTTAAAGTGATGGTCGCTGTTCCGTCGAGTGCCGTTGACTCTTACGAGAAGCTTGTGATGAGCCCTAACGTTTAATAATAATTAGAGAAATATCAATTCTAATCTTTTTACTTTCTTATTTTTTTGAAAATAATTGAGGAATTCTCCCTCCGTTGACTTGTATAATATTGAGTTTTGACTTTATAAAATCATTTTTGGTTTTCTTTATTTCCTACGCTCAGCGACCATTTTGTCTATTCATCCAACATAAACCACCATATTATTATAGATTTATATTATTCGTTTCATTGCACACGTATTGGCGTTCCACTATCGACTTATCTTTTTCTTTACATAAATTAGGATGAGAGGATCTTAGTACAATCGAAAATGCACTAATTAATGGTTAATTTTTTGTTTCTCGTACCTATTATTAGGTATGGACATTCAAGTTTTTCGTCAGGTCGGTTATTTTCATGTCCTGGTCTCTCCGATTCTACATTTAGAACCAACTAAATATTTGAAAATTTTCAGTATAGATTCAGATAGTGATTTTGGTTTGGAACGATTCAAATCTATAACTAAAATACATATAAAGTTTATATGATTTTTGGATTTGTAGCGGAACTAAATCCAAATATTTAAAACCGAAAAATGTCAAATATTTGAATTTCATCAAAATTTAGCCAAAATACATCGTATTTATCTACAAGCTTACAAAATAACTAAAAATAATTTATTAATTATTATAATTGAATATTTTTAAACTCTAAGTTTTATAATAGTAATAATAATAATAATAATAAATATTATAAATAAAACATTACAACTAGATTATACATTAAATATATATATAAAATAGACTACACATAATCATAAAATATTAATGCGCTCAAAAACAAAATGTAACATAGGGGGCACTGAAGTACGTTCCCCTACTAACTTTTAATTTTTTTTATCAGTTGTTATAAAGTGTATGTAAGTGTCTCCAACTCAAAGATAAAATTCAATGAAAACTTTCTTGTGATCCCACTAGATTAGTAAAAATCGTTTTTTTCTCGAATCAATTCTATTAAACTCAGTTCTTTTCATGTACAGATCTGTTTAAGTCAATTTTTTGGTTTTAATTTTTTCAGGTATAAAAGCTTACACCAGCTAAATGTTTTTAAGTTTTGGTTTGGTTTTGAAATGGGTATTTTTTAGTCGATTTCAGTTTGGGTGGTTTGGGTTTCGGTCCGGGTAGAATTACCAATTACTTTTGGATCTTATACTCAGAAAAGCGAAAAGGTTTATTTCTGCGATCAATGATTTAGTCTTTGGTGTTGTTGGCATGTTGCCTTGGTCCCAGGAAGCGCGATTCATGCTATAGTATGTGTCGGCAAAACGATGGGCATGATTGCCTATTATTATGCTTCAAAAATTTATTTGAATTAATCAGCAAACTTGTTGTCGTATAATATTTGTTACTCCCTCTGTTTCGAATTAATTGTCATTCTGGAGAAAAAAATTTGTTTCAAAATAAGTGTCGTTTTTAAGTTTCGAGATAAAATTTATTCGTTTTATATGATCTTTTATTTTTCTATTGGTCGAAAAGTGGTTAGATGTATAGATAATTGTGTTTTTTTCTTGAAAATATGTAAAATTAAATGTTTCTTTAATCTGTGTGCAAAAACGTAAAATGACAATTAAAATGAAACGGAGTGAGTATAATGAATTGTTGTTATTTATTATCAGTGAAGAAAATCATGTGTAATAACTAGTTTGATTAATGGTATAGTCTTCCAGAGGGAAAAAAAACAATGAAGAAGTATACGTAAAGATGACTGATTACTATGATATCTGAATTTATTCGGAATTTTCGAGTATGCTGATTTCCATTTTGTTGACTTCTTTACAAAGAATAATCTTATTACTTTTCATATAAAATCATTAAATTAACCACATTTGATATATCAAACATATATCAAAAAGTGAGTCCCTTCCCGAAATATTAATCATATCCACATTCGCATGTTTACTTATTTTAATCGTGGTAGAATATGTTTACGTTTGAAATCTGACAATTTCCATTATTCAATATTCTCAAAAATATTAAATCTTAATGGCATGAGAATCACCATTAGAACCACCCCATAAAAGATTGAAAATGGTTTGACTGAAATGTGATTAGTTGGAGATGTTTAGTTGTGGTTACGTAGACGTGCGTTAATTAATTTAAATAGAGGCTTTCCAAGTCAGACTGACATGTCGCAGCTTATTCATGGTTCAACGCTAATCATAGAATCATATACATTTAATAAATAGTCTTGTTTATGGCTCAACGCTAATCATAGAATCGTATAATTTAATAACTGATCCTTCTAGCTAGAATTTTGAAACTTTTACCAATAAAAGTTATTTTAACACGCAGTAATAGGCACATAACTTGATAAGTATTTGATCTCAATACAGTACTTTACTTTTGTCAACGATAAATACTGATCCCACTTGAGACATGAATCGACTCATTTATATGTATGGTTGGGTCGTACTCGTATCTCAATTATTAGAGATTTTGCCCTGAAATGTCAACTCGACCAAAGGGAATGAACTTTGCGTAATTATAAATATCTTGATGAACCTACTACCAATACATGAGAAATATTTTTAAATTAGGCTCCACTATAAAAACAATTAAATAATTAACTGTCTAATCTAAATTCATATCCATATATTTCATTCATCTACAGCATCGTTTTATAATATGTTACAACTTGCATATAGATGATCTTAACAAAGAAATGGGATTAATTAATGAACATATATATCCGCAAAACATGCAATTTCAAGAGGACGAGTATGAGTTTGTAAAATTTTTGATTTGGTAAAAATGTAGTAGCTGTGATGTTTATATGTTTTCCATGAAAAGACTCATATATCCGAGTTGATCACTGAAACGAAACCTCATATGGATCCTTTTAAGAAATATAATTTAGTTTTCATTCAACTAGAAATTAAAGCCTTTGTTCAAAAAAATAATTATTTTTCTTGATTGGAAGAGTCAATGCTCATACATTTATAAAAATAAATAAATGGTATATTCCTGAACAAAGTATGTTATCTGAAAAGCTAATTTATACAACTAAGATACTGTTATTAATTAGTACTAGAGATCGTCCACCCCGCGCAAGTGCAAAATTATTATTATTGGTATTGTGTTGTTTTTATCCATGAAGGAGAGATTCATGTGTTGGAAAATTCCTTTTGAGACTGTGAAATGAATTATATTATTTATTGATTCATAAAAGTTTGTGGTCCGATTTTGTAAATGAATGTTTATTGATATAGGGATGGATTGTTTTATGTTTTATGTTTTATTTGTTTTATTGGACTTGGGTATATATGTGTATATTATGGTATTAAAATATTGTTTTAACCGTAGTGTATGACTATTTAGTTTGTTTGCATTGTTATCATCTAAACATTGAAAGTTTTTTTTTAAAGAAAAATGAAACAAAATCAAGAGCTTTATGCTCTCAGTCTAAGTACATGGCTACAGAGCGGACATTTATGCAATGCTTACATGAGCTATGTTTTTAAGGAATGCATGTCACCATGTAACGTGTAGTGATTGATACATTTAGTTATAGACATTATCAATATGCAAAATGTAGTCAGTACTGCCTTTTTAAAATAAAAACTTAGTAATTGTTCTCTTCATAGGAGGGAGTTTGCCGAAAATTAAAGAGAAAAATCAAAGTTAAAAATCATATATATAATTGATTCAAAATCATAACAACTCTGAAAATACAGAACAGACAAATTGAAACTATCATTCACGCAGGCATGAGCGGCTATTCTCTTCTGCTTTAAAACCGGAAGAATTTGGTTCATCATCTCTTGATGCAACAGTGTTGCTGGCAGATGCAGCTGCTTCTTCACCTTTGTTTTTTCACTTGTGTGAGAATGGAAACTGCATGCCTAATAACACAGAGGAAGACATTCTCGAAAGAGGCGACTGACTTTTGGCAAATAGATGGAAGAATAGAGGGTATCAGTGTATGTGGATTGGACTCACAAACTTGTATCTATTTATATATAGAGTTTGAATTGTTCTTCTGATTTTAAAACGAATAAAGTTTGGAACTTAAATAAAAGAAGACGGATAGTCGTGAGAGTAAATAGGTTTAATGAGAACAACAGATTCATTAAACATGTGAAATCAAAACGTTGAAATAGGGTAAGCAAGAGATGTAGATGAAGAGACATGGGATCATGTAAAATATGAAGGGGAATGTATGGTTTTTCTCAAACATTGGATGACACACTGAAGTTCAATAGTTTACGGAAGAGTTTAATAACAGAAGAGACGCCTCATGACCTAAGCATAAATGCAGAATTTTGTTATCTTTGGTTAAGTGCTTTAGAATGAGTTTCTAAATATAAATTACAAACTCACACCAGCCTACACATAATTATACTAAATCAAAACACATTGATAATGTGGTTGACCAGATGGAATAACACGCAGATCCTACAAGAGTCTTGAAACTCAACCATTATAATATAGTCCCCGTGGAAACACGGTTTCGGAGATATAATTGATGTATTCTATAATTTTATTATATCTTAAGATGTTTGACATATAAGCTGGACCGATATAGCGTGTGAAGTCTTTTGTATTAGTCAATAAAGTTTTCAAAAGTTATATATATCCGCAAACATTATGCAGTCTTGTTAAATGTCAAAGGTTCTTCTCAATCTTCTCTAATTCTCATAAATTCGCCATTTTTTTATATTCTGAGAATCCCATAAACGGAGGCGGCAAACAACCATAAACTGAGCAGTTCGACCAAAGTAAAGATAATCAAAAGTTGAGACGCGTGCTACGACTTTGGCAACCGATCGAGAAGATGTGATAATATTTGACTGGAAAAAGAGTTAATGAGAGAATCAGAGATGAATTGTTTCTCCGTTTAGATATAATATATATAAAGCGTAATACATGAGGTATTATGAACATATTTCATTATTACTTAACAGAGTAAATGGGTACTATTATGCAATCTTGTTTAATGCCAATGTTCTTCTCTTTCTCATAAATTAGTCATTTCTAT